AAACCCTTATATGATCAATGGACATGGAAACAAAAGGAAACAGTGGAAGTTAGAAGATAGATGAGAACTTGCAAGGAGGGGTTTGTTATTCAGAATTCAAAAGACTATTGAACCTTACACCTTCTTTGTAATCATAGCTTGTGAACGAAATATTCAAATATCTTCAGTTTACTTATGACTTAGACTGGTTAATTGGTGTGGCCAATATTAGCCACCACAGGACCAAACTGGTTGTTAATTTACATCAACACTGTGTTTTGTGTTGAACAAAATGCAGATAATATCATCCAGCTTTAATGAATTATGATCTATTTTAAAACTTTGTCTAAAAATGCATTTGTCTTAGTTCAACTTGAATTTCTCTCATTTCAATGTTAAAAAAATAAATTATTATATGATCTAAGCTACAGGGGAATATTTAACCAAGACGAAAGGAGATTTTTCTGCTTTGAATACTGTCTGTTACTTAAGCTCCAGTATATGTTTATATAGCTTGTTTTGTGACTTAAATCTAAGCTTATTTGTCTTTAACCAACATATAGCTTAGGTGTTTCATTAAAAAATATAGAGCTAAAAGTTTGTGATAATTTATATCAGTATGAATTAACTTCAAATCAAAATACATTTCAATGATAAAACAGGGTCTGTCAAGAATAATAACTCATTATTTCATCACTTTACAATTCAGATTGATGATCTCAAAATTGTTTTAAAGTAAAATATTCTGTTTTTATTTTTAAGCATTTTAGTACTTAAAAAATAATTTTAAAAGTTAAAACATTGAAGTTAATAAGTTAAAAACAGTTGACAAATACCTCATATTTGTGATGTTGATTTTAAAAATTGCAAAAGTATACCATGTCTTTTATCTCATCTAAATAATAGAAAAAAATTTAATAATGTTTTATTTATATAAAAATGAAAACACAAATATGCTTTTAAAAGGTATATCTTTATGCATTTTGAAAATGCCTTTACTATTCCTGACACTGTTGATTCAAAGCATGTGCCATTTGGTGAGTATGTTTCACTCATAATTTTGTAATTGAACTATTTGCTTATGGCTTTATTAGTTGTATCCAAATTGAGAAATTTGTGCAATGCCCATCAAAATAGTGACCCTATCAAAACTAAGTTAACTGATAAATCCATTGAAAAGACAAGACAACTAAATCATTATCATGAGCCCCTTAAATACTCAGATCTTGGTGGCTTTGTCTTGGTACCTCTGACACTGGGCAGAATTTATTTCTTATGAGCTAATAGTACTAATGGTTCTGCCCACGGCCCAGTTTTTATACAGTATATGAGTCCCAGTAGATCTTTTTGTAGAGAATAACCATGTGATAACTTTCAACTCTGACTTGATCTAAATCTCAAATATTTTCCTGACAGGATAGTTATGTTTATAATTGTGAAGTTATTCATGGGAAAATGAACAGGTATTACTCTTTACAACTTGGGTAGTACTAACACTAGGGCAGGCAGGAGAACATAATTAAAACAATTGTTTCAAGTTAGTAATAGAAACCTACCCCGAATAAGGCTATATTTAGTAGCCTTGAGAATATTTTTCCAACCAAAGACATTACTCTTTTTATCTTTATCAGACACAAAAAATTAAATTAATATTAAGGTATAAGGGGTGGGATATATAGAAAAACAAAGGCCAAGTTTGCAAAAACATGAAAAAAATCTTCTTAACAATAAGAGGTCTGGAACACATAGTTTTAAGACAATGTGCTCTATAGCAAAAAATGAAGGGGATATACCTTGCTAAAAAAGTACCAGGAAATATGGCTAAAATGAAAATTTCTAGGGTTCCTTATGAGAGAAAAATATTTGCTAAAGTCATTTCATTTTCATAAAGAATATAATTTTTCTACAATATAATCAATCTTTGACATATAGTTTTTCCTTCTACCCTCGAAGTGGATTTATTTATACTATTACAGTCTAGAGTAGTGCTCAATAGAAAGATAATGAGAGTGTAGTAATTTTAAGCTTTCTAGTAGCTTTTTTTTAAAAGTGAAAAGAAAATGGTGAAAATAATTTTGACAATACATTTTACCTAACCCCGTATATCCAAAATATTCTCATTTCAACTGTAATCAAAATAAAATTATTAATGTGTCAGTTTATATCATTTTTTGCACAAAATCTGGTGTGTATTTTATACTTATAGCACATTGCAATTTGGGGTAGTTACAAAGGACTCACCAGACACATGTGGGTACTGCCTACTGTATTGGACAGCACAGGTCCAGCGAAACTTTCTCTTTAAAGACTTGACAATTCACCTATTTTTTTCTTTCCTTCAATCCTTTCATCAATGCACACTTGTTTACATACTGTTTGACTTTAAGTGTTAGTCTAGGACAGCATGAACTTGAGCTTCTTTGAAGTGCTTGACATATTGTTTGTTAATACAGAATTAATAATTACATTAAATAAAAAGGGGTCCAGCAAACTCTGAGTTCAGGTCACCTGGCCAACTCTTGTGTTTTGTTTGGTTTGTTCAATGTACTATGAATGACTTCCCTGGAGTATGTTTGGCTAAATCCCTCTCAAAGAGATCATAATAATCACACAATACAAGAAAATCCTTCAGTGTAAATTATTCTGCAGTTACAATCTGTTGAATAAACAGTTACTAAACAGGTTAGGAACTCAGTGTTTCAAGGACGTGTCTGTACTTTATCCATTGTGATTGTCCCAAGGACGCCACTGAGAGAGCAGCAATCGGCTTCAGCCATCTCTGAAATCTATGAATGAGCAGCTGGCATCGACATACCAGTGATGAAGATGAGTCGATGTATTCAGCAGTATGTAGCGCTATGTCATAAGGGGCTTTACAGAAGACACCGGGACAAACACGTTTCAAGACTAATGCGTTCACATGTGTAAGAATGTGGTATGGTACACGGACTGGTGCTGTGGTTGCCATGAGAAGTACTCACTTTTTCAGATCATTCTGCTGCTTTTGGGCTTGTGCATAGCAGGGAAGAAGCCACTTGTGTACAGTGGAAAAAGTATATCAACTAAGAAAACTGCATTTGACTGAGAAATAATTGTATCACAGCCGTCACTGAATTCATTTCATAAAATGATCAACACAACAGGTGCATTACATGTTATGAATCAGAACTCTGTTTGCTGATTCATAAACTTGCCAGTATGCAACAAGAATAAGATGCATCAAAGAAAGCATTGTGTAATCTTCATGCAGTAAAATTGTAACCAATATCTCAAAAACAGTTAATGCAACATTCGACAGGGATTAAATAAGGAACTTGGTACACACAAATGTTCTGAATATGAGAAAATGGTAATCACAATTTTTTTTCTAAATTAAAAAATAAAAAATATTGTTTTGCATTAAATTTTAAATTCAAGCTTAGGTGACAATGGTAATTTTGCACATTTAAAAAGGATTACTGGGAAGCACATACCAATGCAAGGGTTGGGGGAAAAGGAATTTTGCGAACTAGACCCTGTCCTAAATCGTGATGTCCTGAGATGATACGTTGTAGCACAACTATGCCAATTCCAACTCTGGATAGGTCTTATCTACTGATGTATGTGGTTCTGTCATTAGCCGAGAATTTAAAGTGGTTCTCACTTCCCTCAGCATCGACCTGAGAAACTATGGGCTGAATATTTTGAACATGGATTCTTCGAAGGGCAAGAGATCAATGTAAAACTGTGTATGTTTTACTATGCAAATTGTGTAAAGAATGGAGACCTTTGTAAATATCAAGCAAATTTCTTTCCCACGACGACTGTGTCATTGGGAAGAAGCATCTCTTTTTTCATGGATAAAAAACTCACAACATAAAACTTATCCCAAAGTCCTCGGAATCATTAATAACTTTTTTAAAATACTCAATGTTGATGTTATATGTTGTTATAATTTTCGTTCCTTACAACATAGCGTGTAGAAGAAAGAAAACCACACATGTTGGCAGCAGCTGGGGATGTGCTCTGATGCTATTCTGAAAATAAGTTGCCATAATTTAGCTTTTGAGATAAATGCCTTTCATGAGGACTGCATATGGACATTTTTCTAATTGTAGACATGTTCATATAATTGGAACTGAATAACTGCATTTACTACTGCATTATGGAAAAAAAGGAAATATTTAAGATAACAACCTAATCTAAATTATAAGATAAATGCAAGTAAAAATATTTTTCATTTAAGAATTTAAAACTGATAGTTCCACAGAGTGGTGATGGGTATATTATACATATTTATGTGGATTTTACAGGGTATTTCAAAAGTCCCTGAGGACATACAGGATTCACAGTCTCAGCATGTCTTCGCATATAAATGCAAACTTTTTTCTATATTTGCTATAATAAATGCTGAAAATGGCTCTCATGTGCTTATAATAGAGATATTTTTGTTGCCAAGGTCACTAAGTAGAAGAGGGGTCACAGATGCCATTTTCTGCAGGGGGACTCAGGGACTTCTGGCTCAATCCTGTAAATTAGTCACCCACATAAATATGTATAGACATATATGTAGTATGCATAGTCACAACATAAATATATTTAACATTTAAGAAAATTTAGATATTCTACTGGTAAACTGACATATGTATACCATATAACTTGTTATTTATTCAAAGGAATTTGATTTTTTTGATTGTTGTTTTTCAAATGTATCATTAGCTTAATTGTTATTTCTTTCCCAAAGTTATAAACAAGACTCCTTTATAAAGAAGCAACATATTTTACTTGCACATACATTTTTAAGCTGAAGTTAAGTAATGAAAATTAATATTCACAAATAAATAACTAAACGATGAAATTTTTCTTAGCAATTTTCGTTTTCACTTTATAATGTATAATTGTTTCATTGAAACTGTGCTTTAGAAATTAGTTCAAGTTAATGTTTTTTTTTTTGGTTTTTTTTTTTTGCTAGTTAAAAATCACAACGGTCTGATATATTAACATATGTCAGCTTCCTACAGGAGCCCTATGGGTCTGCCCACCTGTGATGTCATAGTAAGGAGGGGCTTTTCTTCAGCAGACTCCTCCCTCGGTATCTCCTTCATCACCATGGCAACAGCCTTATCTGCCGCCCTAGAGCCTTTTCCCTATAACAGTGAAATCAACAATGACTTGTGTCAGGAGAAATCTTTAAGTTATTATTTATTACAAGATAGTCTAATGTTTAAAGACCAATCCAACATAAATGAAGAAGTAGGCTGCTGCAAGTGAGTCTTGAGGCTTTTGGCTGAAGAGAAAACACACAATATCTGAAAAAAGATTGTTTGTGAACTTGAGCTACTTTTTCAGCTTTACAACTGACATTTAATTTTAACATAGTACTTTATATGTATGGTATATTTTAGGCAATTTACATGACATGAACATAATTTATAGCATCTATTTAAATACAGTATGAATTGCCTGTTATGTTCATTTATAAATTATTCCTATATAATTTCTAAAACGTTTGAATGACAGGAGTCTGGGACAGGGATTGGGATAAGGAGGGCTTGGTGGGTGGTCTCTGGAGTCTGTCATTTTTGAGTGGATTGGGCATAAAAAGAATAAAAGTGTCATAAAAACATCTCAAAAATTCTTCAGTAGTCTAATGTCACAGGAATTCACCTAGCTTATTTTGTGGAGCTAGCATGAAAAAAACTTGTAACTCTATGTTTTTGAGACCAAATAATTTTAATAGAATTTTAAAATCTCTTTTCATTGGAGAATCTGTAAATCCAGACATAAATAAAAATGATTACTAATTGAGGCATTGATAGATATAGATATAAATATGTAGGTATATACATTCCCTACATTTTTTGTCTCATACAAACAGTTATAAACTATAAAGGGGTATGCTGGCTTTCTGTCTTTTTGGTTTACTAGATTTTTAATTTTTGAGAGTAGATACAGCATCATGGAAAAAATGAAATAAAATACTACCTTCTTGATCCAATTAGAAGCATCTCATACTATGTAAAAATTAAATAATCTCTAAACACTTTAAAAACAGAAAACTTTAATTTTCTTATGTCTCTGGGCAAAGCCTCTCTGGAGAAAATAATTTTATAATAAAAGCACACATGAATATCTGTGCTGTAAATCTATTTAAAATACAAATGTAGCATATAGAGACATCATAGGCCCAGAAACAAAAATGGACATATGTGGTCTGTTGTCTGAAAGGGGATTAAGAGCAATCCAACATAAATGGGAGTTAGGGTTAATATGAATTCTAGAGGTTAATAAATCTTGATCCTTTCTATGTAATGCAAAAGAGTAGAATCACATTATTATCATGGTCTTGCACAGTACTTTAAGAGTTTAGAAGGTAGGTCTATTCCAGGAAGCAAGTCTTCTGAGATGAAGAAGGAGTGACTCTAATTGCATTCTACTGTAACTCCTGTGCCCTCAGTTTGTTATGTGCTAATCATCCATTTTCTCAGGCATTCCTTTCTAAATAACAAGTGGCAGCTTTTATTTATGAAAACAAAGAAAAACTTTATAGTTACTAGATTTTAGAATGTGTGAATCTCTTTATTTCTCAAAGTTTATTTCTTTGTTTTTAATTTTTATTTAAGAACTAGCATTATTGAATGATAATGTTTATTTCCATGATGGGATATAAACTACAAGAGATTTTATTTATCAGGAGTTACTATCAAATATGTTCTGGAATGTCTCTATGGCCACAATCCTTAAAATCACTGACTACTAGAAGAATAAAGGAAAACATTAAAAATTGGGGAGCATAATGATCCCAGGTTTATTCTTTAATGATGAACTTCCTAAAATGTGAACTTCCTAAAATAGAGATGCATACAATTCTGAATTCTGGGAAAAGATTATTATAGAACTATTAAATTGTTTTACATTTTTTCAAAATATAAAAATTATTGGGATGAAACATTACATACTATAAGCTTAGCATACCTTTATAAGCTATTCTCATTACAGGTTAAATATAGTTTAACAAATATTTTTGAGCTTATTTTTTTTCAAAAGAGCAAAATCATTTGTGAAGAATTCTTTCCATGCTCCAAGAACTTCTAATAAGATAGCAATGAACGAAGTGGCATGCTTATATTTAAATTCCTAACATACTTAAAAGAACAAATCTAATGTTACAAGGTATAATTTTAAAAAAATAATAATAATTCAGACTCTTATCCTGAGCTAAGGAAAAAAAAAAGGTCAATTGATGAGCATCTCAAAAAATTTTAGGTCAATATTTCAATACACTACTTATTTGAAATGCTACCAATCCGTAAACTACATATAGATATTTTTCACATGTGCAACTAGAGTAGCTAGAATTAGCAACGGACATGCCATTTCACTAAAACAAACAAACAAAAAAACCAAACCAAAACAAAAATTAGTCCTTTCATGCTGAACTCTAGAACAAAGCAGTGGTCAGCTAGAAAGGATGTATCATTAACACATGCGGTGCTTTTGATTTCTTGCAGAAAAACCCACCAAAGCCAGGGTCAGGTCACTTTTTTGAAGACAGTGCCACTTTTTCTTCAAGGTTACACCTACTACCTGAAAAGAGTCATGACACCCATGTTAGAGCCTGCTAGCAAAGTTCCCCTTTACAGCCTGTTGGCTTTGAGTCATTCCCCCGAGAGCCTCACTGTTTACACGTGTGGTGCAGTCCGAGGACAGAACGGGAAGGTCTGCCACCATGACATCGCCACGGTTCCAGATACAGTGTCTGAGACCACTGCCAAACCTAGTGAACACACTCATTTATCAAAGCGAGATTTCCCCCAGATCACACGGCCACCTCCACCTGGTACCTGAAAATCAAACTGTTATTTCTGACTTGTCCATGTATCTCCTGGGACAACATTTCTAAAATTCAGATCCCGACTGATAATTGAGTTGGCAATTCATAAAACTGTACAACTTGGCTTATTGGTAGTCTGTGGGGCTGACAGTAATACAACTGTAGAGGTTTTTTTCCCTTTGTTGAAGCCAATGGCTCAAAACATTGTAAGAACTATATGCGCATAATTATCCAGACTTTAAGCTCAATTTCTAAATATAACTATACCGAAGGATAAATATTCATCTATTATTTGAAATAACATGGAGACAGCAAAAATGAACTCTTCACTGAATATACACACTCAAGCTTGTAAGAGGTTTTGGATTACATTAAGCCTGTGTGCTTTCCCATCCCATCATTCTCAGCAACAACAGAAAAGAATAGTGGCACTTTACAAGTTGATTACTACGCCGTGACACCCTCCAGCAGTTATTTCACTCTCCCTTTTTGTAAATAAAACTTCAAAACCACCTTTTCCCACTTCCTGGGTGAGTTTCTTAAGATTTTTTTTGGCTATTTTCCCCTGGTGATTTGCTGTAGAAAATTCTTCGATATTTCTCTTTATCACCTTGTTTCCTGAGCACTGAAATATATACAATTATAGCTTTTCTAACAAACAATAGTAACACCTGAGAATAATCTTTTGTTAACTTCTATTATAAGACTGGGCATAAATGAATGAAACATGGAGAGTATATAGCAAGTGACACTGACATAATTAAGGAAACCCAATGCGGGCTCACTCCTCTTTCTTAAATACAGAACATGAGGAACAGAGTAAACAGCACTGGAAGTCACAGGATCTTCTCAGGCTGGACACCAGGCTGTGCCGCTGCCAGATGACGAGGAGGTGTTGGCTCCAGGCCCGTCTCAAAAGGGAAGGAACTGAAGTATTTGGAGAAGCTACTGTGTGCTGGGCACTGCTCGGTGTTGGATGGATTTATACTTATTTGTTGCATGAGACCTCTGTGGGGTATACGTTGTCTTACTAGGTGGTTTGGGATATTGAGGCTCAGAGACTCAGAGACGGAGTGACTTGGTCAAGGCCTCAAAGCTGGTATGTGGCTGAGCAGGAAGGGAACCCAGTGCCAGCCTGTGAGCTTCCTTGTCTACCTCACTGTTATCTCTTCATTGGCTTGACAGGCCGGAGGGCTCCCCATGCAGTCCCCCTCCCCCTCCTCGCCCCCCCGTGAAATCATCCAAGTTTGGGGCAGCAACCACTTCTCAGGATAATGATACAGTCTGGATCAAGCCAGCATTTTTGAGATTTTCTTCAATCTGCAATGGTCACTAAGAATCAGCCTACCCATGACTTCACTCATAAGTACAATTCTAACAAAGTATTTCTGTTTTTTTTTTTCTTCATGGAAAACTAACCTAAGCATGTCATGTCTGTGAATCTTATTAGGTTTATAAGCTTTAGCATCCCTCTAATTCTGATTAAAATGCTAACTCAGCACTATTAAATGCCATCTGTACTAGGTGTTCTGAGATCTATTTTGGGTGCATGCAATACTTAAAAGTATGCAATTCCATGGTTAGTCCATTCATAAGCAATTTTCTAATTGCAGATTCTATTACTACTATATGAATTTTTTTAATTTAAAAATTATTTTTATTATTCCTAATTTATCAATAATAATCCAGAGTCTTTTTATCAGAAATATTAAATAGAAGCTATGAAGATGTAATAAATTAGGGAAAAGGTAAAAGACTATAATAGTAGTGATTTCCGGTAACCCCATATCATCTAATATATGAAATAAATGTATTCTTTTATTCTGATTACAAAAATTAAAACATGCTGTTACCAAAAATTGAGAAAAAAAAAGAAATAAGAAAATAAAATTAACAAGTCTGACATTTCCCCCCACCCCCAAATTTTATCTTTACAACATTGAAGTTTTTTAGGATGAATGTTTTAATGAAGACAAACTACCATCAAGCTCACAAGTGTGAATATATTGAATATATTTCTTCACATATACATACCTGTAAACAAATACCTGGCGTCTATAACATTTTGGTAATTTTGTTCCAAATGAAATGGTATTCAGTTTTACATATGCTAAAACCATTTTGTAACTCATAAATTCTGGACTCTGAACTTAAATGCACCCGCAGGAAACTGGCCACAAAAACTGACTAATTTCAGATGACTTTTCTCTCTGTCTCTTATGTGCAGAGCAAGGACAACATTCTTTTACTCAGGAAGGTAAATGTCAGGGTGTCATGCTCTCTTTAAACTCCCAACACGGGAGAATGTGAGAGCAATGTTTCCCAGTCTCCTCTGAACGCAGGCAATGCCTGTCTACCATACTGTGTCCTGCCCAGTGCAGTGAGTTCCTGTAGATTTCTTCCAACATACAGGAGGGTTCAGGCCATGCTGGTTCTAGCACAGTCACATTTAACTCATTCTCCCCACAACAGAATATTTTGTAAATTTAAAAAGTGGTACAAATAGAACTAAATCTGGGCACTCTGGTCAATCCGTATTTCCCAATATCCCAAAGGAAGCACAGATCTAGATGTAAACAATTGGGAAGCCTGGACAGAATTCTGTCTTCACCACAGATTCTCCTGTGGAATTCATAAGTCACAATAAACTCACCACTGGTTCAGTGCTCTGTTTTTAGCTGGAAATAATGCGATTTCTGATTCCTAAATATGGGTAGGGAAGTCACAGTGCACAAACTGGTGCCTCTCTGTTTAAATGATGACACAGGGCGTTTAAAAAAGGACCGCCAATCGACCCTCCATATATGTCTCCCTTACTATCTCCCCCCACCCCCCTCCAGCATTGTTCCCTGTGTGCACTCTTCTCCAAGCCATCACCTCTTCTAGGAAGTCCTCTGAGATGAACACAGAGTGACTCTAATTACATTCTACTATATAACTCCGTGCCCTCAGTTTGTGTCATGTGCTAATTGGTACTCTTTGGTTACGCTCTTCCAGACTGTGTATGTGGTGGTGGGAGAAAGTCTTGGATAACAGTCTCTATGGTCTTTAACTTTAATCTCTCCCCCCTCTCCCCACTCCTCCGCCCTCCCCCGTCAAAGTCGCTGGGATTCCGAGCCCACCACAGACATGCTTACTTTCCTTAACATGAATGATTGGTGCCAGAGGACATGGGGTCCCTTCCTCCATTGAAAAGAAAAGCTAAAAATTGTATTTTATGACAAGTTGGTATAAAGACAACTATGTATAATCCAGACTGGATTTATTGTTACATATTCATTATTATACTAGTGATTTTTGGAGTTCTGATTTTAAGAGAGATTAAAATTATAACATTTTTATGGGGCCTTAAACGTGTCTTGGGTCCTGTGAACTGTCCACTGTGCCTAGTGCCTAAGTTGACTCTGGGTTGGGGTCATCTCAACAGTCAGTGTGGCCTCCTCGTGGCTGCTCTGCTGTCCCTAGAGCTGATCTGTCACCTCTAGGTGGTAAATTTGGGCAGCAGCTGCTCCTCCCCGCCCCCCAAACTCCCACTGTGGCTGTTCCTGCCCTAATGGACCACTTTGCACTGCTGCTACTCTCATTACGTTTGTTAGGATCCAGGTATCTTCTAACACCATGGCAGCCCCCCTTATAGTGGTTTCACTTTCCAAAACTTCAATGACCTGTGGTCAACTACAGACCTAAAGTATTAAGTAGAAAATTCCAGAATTAAGCAATTCATACTGCAAGCCATTCTGAGCAGCATGATGGAACCTCCTGCTGTCCTGATCCACCCCACCTGGGATGTGAATCATCCCTCCGTCCAGCGTATCCACACTGTACAGGCTACCTGCCCATTGGTCCCTTAGTAGCTGCCTTAGTTACAGATTGATTGTTACAGGGCTTGTGTTTAAGTAACCCTTATTTTACTTAATAATTGCCCCCAAAGTGCAAAAGTTGTGATGCTGGCAATTTGGATATGCCAAAGAGAAGCTGTAAAGTGCTTCCTTTTAGGGAAAAAAGTATCCTATATAATAAAGAGGTAATATGCAAATTGACACCACACCCTCACAAGATGGCCACGCCCATGTCATCACAAAGATGGCCACGTCCATGTCATCACAAGATGGCTGCCACAGGATGGCCAGCAGGGGAGGGCAGTTGGGGGGGGACCAGGCCTACAGGGAAGGGCAGTTAGGGGCGACCAGACCAGCAGGGGAGGGCAGTTGGGGCAATAGGGCTGGCAGGGGAGGGCAGTGGGGGTGATCAGGCTGGCAGGGGAGGGCAGTGGGGGTGATTGGGCCAGCAGGGGAGGGAAGTTGGGGGCAATCAGGCTGGCAGGGGAGCAGTTAGGCGTTGATCAGGCTGGCAGGGGAGTGGGTAGGGGCAATTAGGCAGGCAGGCGAGCAGTTGAGAGCCAGCAGTCCCGGATTGTGAGAGAGATGTCCGACTGCCGGTTTAGGCACGATCCCTGTGGGCAGTTGGACATCCCCTGAGCAGTCCCAGATTGGAGAGGGTGTAGGCTGGGTTGAGGGACAAACCCCGCTCTCCCCACAGTGGACGAATTTCATACACTGGGCCTTTAGTGTATGTATTGGAAACATCATAGTATATTTAGGATTTGGTAGTAACCAAGGTTTCAGGTATCCACTGGGGGCCTTGGAATATATCCCTTGTGGATAAGGGGGTGGGGTGTGGAGAGCCGATATAGGGTTAAGCCTTGGACTGACCTGTTGGCAAAGTCACAAACAAGTCCCAGCTTAGAGGGCAC